GTAGCTCCCATTATCAATTGGTAGCGCAGGTAGGTCACTTCCTCGATTTTTAGTTCGTGCAGCCACCGCCTGGTGCCGTCGGTATGTGGAAAAGGTCAATTACCTTCGTTTGATGTAAGTCGCCATATTGAATTGCTCATAAAACCACTCTGATATTGATCTGAAACCATATTTTTCGATTATCGAAGCAGGAACCAACACTGCCTTGTTAACGAGAGTAGAGAGGAACTACAGGTGGGGTCTTCAGAAAGAAGGTTTCCCGTGAGCGTGAGTGAACGGTTTTTCAATCCAGAGGCATCCACGCTATTAAATTCGTTTAATGTAAGTCGCCATATTGTATTGCTCCTAAAACCATCTTGAAATTGATCTGAAACCATATTTTTCGATTATCGAAGCAGGAACCAAAACTGTCTTGTTAACGAGAGTAGATAGGAACTACAGGTGGGGTCTCCAGATAGAAGGCTTCGCGTGAGCGTGAGTGAACGGTTTTTCAATCCAGAGGCATCCACGCTATTAAATTCGTTTGATGTAAGTCGCCATATTGTATTGCTCCTAAAACCATCTTGAAATTGATCTGAAACCATATTTTCCGATTATCGAAGCAGGAACCAACACTGCCTTGTTAACGAGAGTAGAGAGCAGGGTGTAAGATAGACAGGTGATGAAACGAGAGCCAAATGAGCGACCAAATTGTGTCCCCATCGGTTTTCTCTTTTTCTGTGGCGCCATCTATGTGGAGCACCGCGAACTTTCACTCCGGGTGGGCGAACGCTGGCGACCGGTTAAACTGACGGAGAAGGTTTTTCGTGGATTTTCAATGGAGGACTGTCGTGCTCTCGGTTTATTTTGCGCACTCTCCCATAAAGTTCCATGCAAATTCGATTCCAATTTTTTTCTTCTCGCCGCAGCGCCATCTGTCGCAAATCGGGGGTACCCGCAAGCCACCCGCAAGCAGACGAGTACACAATCGGGTCACGGCGCTGCGGTAGGTTTCTATGGGCCGTTTCCCCACCTGTCGATCTTACACCCTGGTAGAGAGCAACTACAGGTGGGGTCTTCAGAGAGAAGGCTTCCCGTGAGCGTGAGTGAACAGTTTTTCAATCCAGAGGCATCAACGCTATTAAATTCGTTTGATGTAAGTCGCCATATTGTATTGCTCATAAAACCATTCTCAAATTGATCTAGAACCATATTTTTTTCGGATAATCGAAGCAGGAACCAACGCTGCCTTGTTAACGAGAGTAGAGAGGAACTACAGGTGGGGTCTTCAGAGAGAAGGCTTCCTGTGAGCGTGAGTGAACGGTTTTTCAATCCAGAGTCATCCACGCTATTAACTTAAATTGATGTCAGTCGCCATATTGTATTGCTCATAAAACTATTCTGAAATTTATCTGAAACCATATTTTTCGATTATTGAAGCAGGAACCAACACCTTGTTAACGAGAGTAGAAATGAACTACAGGTGAGGTCTTCAGAGAGAAGGCTTCCCCTGAGCATGAGTGAACGGTTTTTCGATCCAGAGGCATCCACGCTATTAAATTCGTTTGACGAAAGTCGCCATATTGTATGGCTCATAAAACCATTCTGAAATTGATCTGAAACCATATTTTTCGATTCTCGACACTGATCTCTATGTCTATTTGCTGGATCGCTTTTGACCAGCTCCTCCTATGGGCCGGAATGCGGTCACTGGCGGCCATCTTTAGGTAGAGTTATATCATCTCTAGCCATCATAGTAATATGGCGGACACCGCAATGGCGGCAGGCTGCCGTAAAAATAGCCATAGATCTAGTACACTGTACCATGGGTGACATTTCGTGCTTAATTGAAGTTGTTCGACGAAGCAGATTCTTGAAACCCGGCGTGAACGGTAGCCTCATCTTTGAGGACCCGGCAAAAGTTCTACGAAAGCGCAGCACCGGGGGAAAGCAGCGCAGCTCGCATCAAAAGCAGACTCCGTACTATGGTGCCTGGAACGGGTCTTCGACTGGTGTGTTTAGCGTCCTATACCTCCCATGCATTGAAAGTGGTCCCAAAGTGGCAACAAATGACGTCACAGAAACCGGAGTGTCATGCTGTCGGATGTCGCGATCCTGGCGGTTGGCAGTAGAAGTGTTGGTGGAAAAAATTAATTGCAAGCAGACGCCACCGGCGTCGCTATCCTCGCCCGCTGAAGTTTTTAGTTGCTGAAATCGCTGAAATGTCTGTCGGCTGTCGACTGAACGTCTGAACGAGCAGCTGGAGCAGCGGCGGCGGCAGCGGCGGTGGCGGCAGGCGCTGCAGGCGTTTCTGGCGGGGGCAGTGGATGCGGTATGCGGCTGGATCGTTGGATCACGGCCTCTGAAATCGAACAGAACCGAGCGGCCGTGACTGGCTGCTCAATGCAGGTTTGTTTGTCATGGTGCATGCGTGACGAAGGTGCACTTTTTGCGCGCCTCAAAGGGTTCACTAATGGTAAAAAGCGAAAACGGCATAGATGCCTTATATTGGTAGTTCGTTCAGTCGACTGGACGGTACATGTGTCGCACGGCTACGTGAATCGACAGTTGGGTTAAATATGCATCGTATCGATGGGTATGTCGACCGGGGTCTTGGGGTCGCGAATTATTTGGACATCTATCGTGAGCTGCTGCTCTATGTTTTCGCCAAAAGAAGTGGCACTCGACTGTCACTTTCTGACCGCCCCTAGAGGTTTAGTCATAACCTTGGCGGTTCGGCTGGTTCGGCGATGTCTGCCAGCGAGCCGGGCCGGGTTTACAGTGGCGCTAGGCCGGGTGACCTTCGGGGCAGTAATTACATTGAAACAGAGGCCTGTCATTGCTTTTGGTGGTTATAGTAATTATTTTAACTATACCCAATTTTGGTCACTGTTTGCGAGCGCGAGCAGGGGGTGCCCATCAGGATTAATTTTCGGGGGGGGGGGGGGGGGGGGGGGGGGAGAGGAGAGGAGAGGTTTGGCGCTGGCTGGCTGGCTTTGTTTCATTTTCGCGGGTAGTAGTCGATGTATTGCACAATTTACGGGTACGGACACAACCGTCACCCCGTCACCCCCCCCCCCCCCCCCCCCCCCCCAAGCTGCCTGGAACAATTTGCTATTATCTTCAAATAAAAAAAAAGTATGCTATGATTTCCAGGGGATTGACCCCCCAAACCACCCTCCTGCCTACGAGTTTCAGCTGGCATATCATATGCAAAATAGCACTGAGGCCTAAATAAATTGGATAATATAATTGAGCAGTAGTTTAACAGTAAAACAAAAATTATTAATAATTTGTAGAACATTTTAATTAAGGGAAAACAAACGAGGATTAAGTCAGAGAAGTCATGAGGTGTGTAGTCACTAGGATATTGAAGGTTGACAGACCTCATGTTTCTTGCCAAAATTGTACATGTCTAAAAATGCGCAAACCACACTGAAGTTCCTTTTTTTTTTTGTTTAATTTATTTTCACGTTATGTAGTACACTGCACATGCATGCTGTTGCATATGGCACTTAATTGTTGCATTTTACTTATGGACACAAAGTTTTGACTCCTAGAGTAATGCCCCACATGGACACATTCCACAACAGTGGAGAAAATAGACACAACCAGCAGCTGTGCTAACTGTATCTCATCGAACCATGGCGGTTTACGGCATATGCAGTTTGAAAAGAATTTAAAATCAGTGCTTCGTAAGTTACCTGCTGCCATGAATTACTAAAGAATGTTTCATGACTCGTTAAAGCAGTTAGAACTTGTTCTCACCTTCATGCCTCATTGTCATAAAGTTGCAGAGAAACAAATGTGACATTCATGAGACAGAGTAAGGTTGGTTTGCCTTTGAAGTGTGGCGACACTGGTTTACACTGTAGATGAGCAATGTAGCCAGGGCAGTACAACTGTTTCAAGACTGCATGCTGATATGTCTGCTCATTCAGATGGAAACAGGCAGGATGTGGGAATTGAACCCAACAGAGAAAAAAGATCTAGAGCATGTACACCAACTCTTTGAACCCACTTAAGACAGTCCGTAAGAATTAGTCGCTCGACGTATCACGCTGCAATTTACTAGAGAGTTTTAGTAGATCGTTCCAATAACTTTGATAATGATAACCAATACTCGGCCGCTGCCTTTGCACATGCATCATATCTTTATCGGAGGTATCGGAATGATCTACTAGAACTTTTTACAGAGGTGCAGCTAGTTGATAGAAGCAGAGTGGAAATATTAACAAACTTATCTTGTTAAAACAAGAAAAGAAGAAAGAAACCCATTTTGAGCAGTCTGGTGGCACTTGCAGACAGTACCATAACCATGTTTCCTAACTTGAAAGTGCTGCCAACAGGTGGTGCTACATGAAGTATGAGAGTATCTGGCACCTCATTCAATCATCTTCGTACAAGAATGGGGCAAATGGGAGGATGCCCAAGCGAAAAGGCAAAAGACTATGCATAGTCAATAAAACAGTTCCTGTTGGGCAATCTGGCAGTGCACTGTGATGGGTGCCCATGTAACCTGGAATTGGAATGAATGATTCTCGGGTGCTACGCAGACAAAACAGCCCAAGAAATTTACTAGGCATTTTGCATCAGACAGTAAGAAGAAAGCATTTGTACCAGTTTCTCTTTTTTGTTTCAAACAAGGTAAGTTCGTCAGTTTATATTTTCACTTCAAGCTTCCACCATCTAGCCGCATCTGTGTAATAAATTACAGCACAATACTTTGAGGAACCAATCTTTGTGGACACTCTGAAGTGGGTTTGGAGCATCAGTGTACAGCCGTAGTTCGTATGGTGAAACTTAAACTGTCGCTTATGGTGAGGAAACAAGGAACAAGAATAAAATAATGTTTTATCAAGGTGGTATACAGTTGCACAAGAAACTCCATGGTCAGACGTTAAGCTGGTTTCCATAAATGGAGAAACTATAAGAAAGAATATTCCATTCGGTCTCAATGAAGTTGAAAAGCTGTACAGGAAATACTACAGCCAAAGTCAGTAGTTGGATTTCCACCACGACTTGAGTAAGAAAAGTTCAAGAAAAAGCTACATTATGTTTTGTCAAAGGATTGAGCAATGACACATGTAAAAGAAACTGCAGACAAGTTTGAAACTGCCAGGATTCAAGGTTACTGCAGAGAGGCAGATTTTCTAAGATTCTTGCGCTTTGATCGTTGTTCTCTACTGCGATTGATAGATTTAACAAAAAAATATAATCGCGTAATGCAGTAGAAGTGGGCAACTCTTTTTGTTAAAGCTGATGCATGCTGACTGCAGCCAATGAATGGAACATTGCTCTGACCGATCCGGGCAAGAATGTCTGTCATAGTGTCCGGATGGAGGCATCGTGTACTCAGAGACGCAGTGACCGAGTCCTCTAGGGTGCTTATGAGGTCGAAGAGCCTCCTGGAGGGATACAGAAGACCCCCCCGGTCGAACGCACGTGTTGCAGAAGAAAGCCCCTCTGGTGCTGCGTCTGCAGTGACCAGACAAGATGTCTTGCACTCGCTGCATGAGCTCTTTAGGATAGTTTTGCGAGCGGCGTAGCCCGCCATGTAGTACAGGAGCCTCGCATCACTCTTCTGGGCCACATAGGGCAGGTGATCCAGCACTTCCTTGGCTGTCTCCAAGTCGCCATTGTCGATGGCCTTGTCAACCAGCTTGGCGAGACACTCTTTCTCTTTGGGAGCAGGGGGACAGCTGAGTAGTGCACTGACGACAGCCGGTGGTGTGTTCCCTTTTTTTGGGGACCTTGCCAGGCTGTAAAATTGTAGAGCACTCGCAATAATCAAGAACTGGCTTGGACCAGGGTGCTCGTTGGAGCCAGAGAACTGGCGGATGATGCCAAAGAGGCGCTTCACACAGTCCTGGCTTGACGCCATCAAAAAGGTGTACCCGACTTTTTCTGTCAGGTATCCTAGAAGCTCCTGTGTGCTCGTCAATGTGACCCGCAGTCCCTCCGCGGTGCTTTTGCTTAGGAAGCCACGCCCTTGTGCGTGGATCTCCCATTCGTTGAGGTAGTTCAGCACTGCCTGGAGGCACTGGAGCTGCCCAGAAGATCTCCTGCAGGGCAAACAAAACTTGTAATGACCATGGCACATTGTCTCAAGAGTTGTTAGCCTAAAAGTCGACCTGCAGAAGCAACTTCTGCTGGACAGAAAACAAGTTCCCAGTTTCCTGCTTGCCATTCCCTTTCAAACTTTTCTCTCCTCTCCCCACATGAGTGGGCCTCTGAACTGCTCCCATGGGCATACCAACCGGGGGGCACTTGCCCCCCCTCTGAAACAGCTGCCACTGGTTAGGGCAAACACTGGCTGGCAGCGCCCAAGATACCAAGGGCACCGCCCCCCCGCCCCGGGGAGGGGGGGGGGGTCTGGTTTGCCCCCCCACTCAAAAAAAAGTTTGTTCGCCACTGACTACTCCCCACAGAGAAGAGGAAGGTCCTTCTCGTTGTTGAATGCAAAGCAGCTAAGGGAGAGTTTCTTTCTGGCTGCTTGTTGGTTTTAAAGGAAAAGTTAATTTTATGTCCTATAATGGTTATGCCTATTCTTGTATAGTTATACATCATTGTCTGGTACCCTCTCACTTGCAGTGCATGGAATTGGATGCTGATAGGAATGCGATGACAACAGACATATTTGATATTGTCCGAGTATGTAATGACTCTTCTATGCAGTCATTTATGTTTAGTGAGTTGAATGGGAACTGAATAAAGTCCTTCTGGTGATAGTTTACCCCATCACTGTGAATATCTCTCCTATTGTTTGCCCTCAGTGAATGTTATTGAATAGTATATATATGTCAATCAAAACATGTTGGACTCAAATGTTCTTTTCTCTTTATTTCTTTGAGAACAGAGATCTGTTCTAGTGAGCTTTTTCATCTTAAATTATTTTGTGCAAATTGTGCCCATATTAAGAGAGAATAAATTGTGTCAAGTGTTTTTGTGATTTTAGCATATGTTATTTATTTCTATATCTCAGAGTGTTTAAATCCTGCATTAACATAGCACGCCTTTAGAGCATGCTTTGCAGAACATTAACTTTTGTTTGAACCTGATATATTTTTTGTTCTTGTATGCTTGTGCAGCTCATGCACACCCGACAACTTACTTCAGCGACCTTGTAGGGGTCCGCGAGGATATGGCTGCAATGAGGTCTCTGATGAGCTCCACGAAGTGCGCTGTCGCTGTACTGTCCCCATGCTGCTCCTCGATGGCGGTCTGGAACACCAGCAGTCCACGGAGGACGTCTGTGGTGAACAGCTGGAAGGCCAGATTTACCCTCATCTTCTCAAATGAGTTGGGCTTGATGTGTGCCAGCGTAAGTTGTGGCATGGCCTTCGCAGTGACGTTGTTGGCATCCAGTTCAAAAGCAGCCTGGATATGTCCCAACTGCACCTAGAAAAAAGGCATGCATTGCACTTAAATATTTTATAGCATATCTATTTAAAGTCTGCTTGACTGAGGAGGTGCCATCTCTACCAATATGAATGTCCCACAGGGTCCAATCATATTTTCTCTCATAATAAATTAAGTTTTAGATCGTAGAATGTTATTCAGTGTTTATTGTTTGTTTTGTTTTTTGTGAGGCTGACCAGCAGACACACACATGTACAGCCTTTTTCCTTTCTGGTTTGCCTTGCACGCCTTGCAGGGAATAGCCTATATGTGCAAATAAGTATTATTATGATAATTAAGGGGCTAAATCATGCATAGCATTCCTGTCTGCCATATAGCATCATTCTGGTCTTTTGCTTCAAGGGAGTATTTCATACTCCTAAAGACAGTGAATTCGGTGGTTGTATTAAGGGTCACTTGTTAGTCATGTTATCTATGGTCACACCCCAAAATCACCTTCATATCCCAAATGATAACATTTCCCTAACAAAGGACATTTATTCTAAAGTTAGTGGTTGGTTTCCAGAATAGGTGAGCTTTCGTAGCGATAACTATCTCTAAAAAGTAGAATTTATGTTTTTTGTAAATAAAAAATAAATGGGAAAGTACTCGCCCGTGAAATTTTGCTGAATTTGGATTTATAAATAAAACAATTTCACGGTCATGACGTCAAAAGAAAAAGTTAAAAGACTGTTTTACAAATAAATTGCATAGGAGCACAGGGTCAATGGTCCTGAGGAAAGGTCACTTTAGTTTCCTTTGAAATCTCGGATTACTGACAGAAAGAGGTTTACTTTTTTGTGTGACGAGGTTCATTCAAGACAACAAACAGGTCATGGTACCTTTGGGTCACGACAAAAGTCATGTTTAGGTTTCCAGCTTTGACCATATTATTTAGATTTTAATAACGAGGGAGGGAAAATGAAGCCTCCATGCTTTCCAATGACTCCATTCGTGAGTTGCGGTATTTAAGAGCATTGATTGTTATTGAAGCAACACTTCTTTGCAATATTTGTTGTGGGATAGGTAGTGCTGGATAGCAAGGGCGCCAGTGCCTAATGCAGTTGCAGAAATGTCGCTCAATACAGGTACGTCCTGATAAATGTAAAGTAGGTTTGTGTCCAGACTTCATTTCTTCATTTTTTTTGTTTTGTTGGGAACACGGTAAAATTTAATTTAGAATATTAAATAATTTGCTATCTAACAAAAATAAACTCTGATAAACCCCAATTCTTTGATGAAAAATAATCTCCAAAAAACACCCTCTGAATTTCATGAGGAATAAACTCTGAAAACACGGAATCCTACTTAGATGTTGGGCTCTGTGTTTTCGGAGTTTATTTTTTAGCAAAAATTCGGTGTTTATCAGAGTTTATTTTTCACAAGTCCCCAATTTTTCGAAATTCAGATATTAATTTCGCAGTGTTTCCTATTAAAAAATAATAAATAATAACCGGATGCAAACGTATGCCAGATAAAAAATAAAAAGCGCTTGTGTCAATTAAGATTTCTTCAGTTTAATTTGGCGTCGGTGCCCCTGGCAATACTAATTTGTCCCACGACAAAATTTGCACACAAGTGTGGCTTTGATAAATGTCGATACCTTAAAATCAATAAACTGCCGGAGGTAGTTTATTGATTTCTTCCTTGGCAACCTATCCCTTGGGGTCGAAGAAGAGGAAGTTTGAAATACAAATCAGTTGATAGTTCAGCGCTGTGTGAGTGCATTTTTTGTGTGTTTGGATTTTGAATAACTGTGTACTTGTGCGCTGGTTCGTAATGATGCCAAAGGTAGCTGCAAGGAAGCTCGTAGTCATCCCATCTATGTAGCACGTAGCCGCACGAGGTGGAGTGCTTAAGGATGTAATAGAGAAGTTTCAACTGCCCCTCTTCCCTATTTTATACAATCTCTATGGTCCATAGCTTTCACTGTTACCCCTAGAAACATACCCTCTCCTTTCTCTAAATCCCAAATCCCATGGCCCAAACTGGAAACCAAGAGTGGCTTTTCTCGTGACACGAATGGTACGATGACCTGTTTCCGTGAACCAACCTTGACGAGACAAGCCACAAGACCCCATTTTGACAACGGTCCGAGGCTTGAAAGATAATTATGGTGTCGTTATCCCAGGACCATTGATCCTGCGCTGCTGAAATTGTAAAAGAAAATATATATATATAAATATTTTTTTTGCCCCAAGGGGGGGGGGGGGAGGGAGGGAGGGAGGGAGGGAGGGAGGGAGGGAGGGGAGAAGAAGAAGAAGAAGGAGGGGGAGGGGGGGTGGCATGGGCACATAACAATTCGGAGTTTATCGGATAAATCTGAATTGACAAAAATTTTACTGGCGGGTGTTTTTCGGATTTATCCGAAAGCACAAAGCCTTACTTATATGATAGAAGGTATCTGTAGGAGCAAAAAGTATTTTCAGTGTCTCCCAAATAAAGTTTTACTGCAGTCTGCAGTTGATGCTTCATGCATTAGAGAGAGAATCACAACTCTAGCGCTTCTTCACTGAGGGCTGTCAGGAAAGTGTTTTGAGTGCATGCAGTTAAGCTTGTGAATCACAAACAACTAAACCCGAGGTCAAGGAAATGTGGAAGGGGAAACTTAAAAAGGTCACACACTCCTTTTCATGTGCCGCCTTTCACCTGTCTGGTCACCAATTTAGTTATGTTTGCTGTGCCATCCCCTCATTGATGCTGATGTTCTCTCCAAAGTGGGAAGGACTGTCTTTTGGAATACTGTTACATATTAGTTTTATGACAGTGTGCCATGAACTCCCCAAAATCTCCCAATATTTTTAGGAAATTTCTTAGAAAGAGTAACTTAATGTCTTACATGTCCCTCGTGGGTGTTGAAGCCTTGATCATCCAGAAGCAGGTTTCTCACGCATTTCACCAGGTGGGGGAAGTCGGAGATAAAAAAAATGTGCCGCTCTAGGTCCACAGGATGCTCGCACTTGCACTGCACGGAGCCTAGGCTTGCCTCGATGCCGAAGCTGTGCCACATATTTCTGTTCCAGCTGGCACCATCACAGCACAGGTAGTCAACGAAAAGGCCAGCTTCCTCACATAAAATGATGGCCTCTGTGATGATCTTGCTGAGGAGGTGGCCCTTCACGTTGCCTCGTGATGCGAACACTCCTGAAACAAAATTAGAATAATACTAACATTCATCAAGTCAAGTGACTGTATGATCCCATTTTATATTCTTCCTGTTCCACATGGCATCACTTTACTATCACCCCCACAGGATTCTAATACAGCATGACAATATTACAAAATGTTGCTAGTGATTATGGACTTTTTAAAAATTGACAAGCAGTACCCACCACTGTCAAGGTGTCCAAACAAATAAAACCAAGATGATTATGAGGAAGCATTAACCTAATAAAAGGTCATAAATAAATATAGTAGGTCATCCTAGCAATATATCAATAGTATGCTAATTTGTTAGTCATTTTGTCTCCTCAGGTTATTCATAAAATTAACATTGAACGTTATTATTGTTATGCAAATATTCAAAATTTAGAGTAGTAGTTTAGAATAATACACTATCCGATATTCGCTTCTAGGTGAACTGCGATATTCATACCTTTCCAAGTATTGATTGTGGCGGGTTACCCCTTTGAGTGCACTTCTTACCAAGCACCGGTGCACTGCCAAGACGCACCGCCCGCGGAGCTCGTTTCCGCGGGTGTTGCCTCTCCACAGTGCACCTGTGCTCTGTAAGAAGCGTACTCAACAGGGTAACCCGCTGCGATCAACACTTGGAAAGGTATGAATTTTGCAATTGTGTGCTTAGGAGAAAAGCACACTTTCAAAACGGGATGGTGTATGCGCATGCCTGGTGTAGTTATAAACAGCAACTTTGTGCATGTTGATATGTACATTGCAGTAAAATGTTCTAAATTAAGCTTTGGCCGTTCTTTAAGAGTGTATGTTTGGCAAAGATGCCCTGACAACCACATTCATTATTCATTATTATTTTTTTTTAATCCGAAATTGCAGAAAGAATGTTTGCATATAGCAAGGTTTATAAATCCACTGAATTAGGTAGAGCTGCGCATCTCTGTAGGTTTCATTTTATGTCAAATCGTTTGTTTACTTGCCACCCCAAGGGGTTGGACTTTCTGAGGTCACAGTTCATAAGTATAAAATTAAAATTAGTGTATAAATGAACAAGTAGAAGCTTGGGAACAACATCATGAGTTATGTTTAGTTTTTATTATTTGATTGATTGATTAATCTATGGGGGGAAGATTAATTAATTGATTAATCTGTGGGGGCAGAGGCTAGTCAAAACGGGGGGCAGATTGATCAATTGAATAATCTACAGGGTGCAGAGGCTAGTCAAGCAGCGTGTGAGTTGCTTTTTTCTCTTCCTCCTTTCTCTGATTAAGGGATCAATAAAAAAAAAATTGAATTTGCATATTGCATCAGCAACGAAAGGCTTAGAGAAACTATTCAATATTCATTTAGAAAATATTCCGCTAAAACCATTATTCACTTTGAATTCACTTCAAACTCAAAATCTTCCATTCCTGCATGACTGAACTTTTTATATTGCAAAAGACTTTAGTCATGTGATGTAAAAGTTAGCAGCCATGCTGGTTTCTCCTATGTTATGCTCATTACAAATGTCTACTCCACAGTGGCACACACCAACACTGTGGCCCCAGATTTTTGTGGCTTCTTGATTTTTGCATAAATGTTTATTGACCCCTCATGGTTTAAATATTTTCCTTAACTCCTTAAATTATCCATTCTATACCTGGTAACCCAATATATGATTAGGTAGTTGTCAGAGGTGTGTTATATATATACAGGGTAGTTCACATAACTTGAGCCAAGGTTTAAAAATATTTTGGTGCATTTGAGAAAGACGAAACCAAACAAATAAGTTTGTTCATTGTTTGGAACAAGTCAGGCTATTTTTTGTATTTTGCCCAATTAACTTATAAAGTAAGACTAATTAAATTTTGCAATATTCAATTTAGAGCAAAAGCTCACATGTCAAAGTTGCAGAGCATCCTCAGAAACATCCAATTCAGTGGTTTTAATCAAGAAACCTTAACACCCTTTTTTTATGGGCTTTGAAAAAAGTGTCTGAATTATTAACAAAAATTGTGACTTTGTGCATGCATGTGCACCTTGTATTGCAGTGCTCTCAGCCGTGTTTTGAATAAACTAGGCCTTGACTGGGCGCTGTTGACGAATTCGCGTTTTTTCGTGTTCATAATTTTGGCCCTTTTTTGAAGCCCGAAAAAACGAACCGTGTTAGAGGTTTTTTGATAAAGACCACCGAATTGGTTGTTTCTGAGGATGCTCTACAACTTTGTCCTTGGAACTTTTGCTCTAAATTGAATATTTCAAAATTTAATTGATTAATCTTAATTAGTTAATTGGGCAAAATACAAAAAAATAGCCTGACTTACTCCAAACAATGAACAACCCTATTCGTTTGGTTTTGTCTTCCTAAAATGCACCAAAATATTTCTAAACCTTGGCTCAAGTTACGTGGAATACCCTGTATATCCTGGATATGGCTCTTTAGTGACACCCTATTCTAGGTACCATCAGCATGGAGGTCAAAGCGAAATTGCATACTGGATAACCTCATCATTGCTCATATAAAATGAGAGTAACGCAGCATGAAATAAGAGTAACGCAGCATAAAATAAGAGTAATGATAGTAATCCCTGAAGAATCCCCTTCTCTGGGGATTATTATCATTACTCTTACATTGCATTAATTGCATTATCATCATGAAATAAGAGCCTTTTTACAAAAGCGATATAGACACTTTACACACGCGCCAAATTACAGTCGCCATTGCTGGCCTTCTCTTGTCTTACCGAGAGGCCGAGCAACTGAAACAGTAGTTGGCGATCCTCCACAAAGGCCGATGCTTTAGAAAAGGACACAGTTGAATCTAATGTGGCAATAACCTGGCCTGCTATGGTAAACATGAAGTGAAATAAACGAAATAAGAGGAAACAAAAACTGAAGGTCAGTTATGGCGGCGTCCATGCACAGCTGCTGCAAAGCGTCTATAAAAGTTAAGGGTGTGAATATATTAGTATTTCTGAAAAGTAGTTTTGTAGAATAAATTACCATTCTATGTATATTTGCTTTGATATGAACTGTGATATTTATATGTTTATGTTTTGACAAAGTCAGAGCTGCAGCAGCTTAGTTAACCCCATTGAGCGTGCTCCTCACCAAGCACCATTACACTGAACTAGTAAGTACCTGCGAAGCAGATGCCGCGATCCTATGAATGTCGCTTAGCCACAGTGCAGGTGCATGTTTAGGAGAAAGGCATACTTTCAGAGAGGGATAGTGTATGTGCGCTATGGTGTGCTTCAAAAAATAGCTGAACTTGGTGATGGTGACATCCACCTGGCACTAACATATGCATAATGAAATAGGGCATTTATCCGAGAATATATGTTAGGCAGTAATGTTATGAAAAGCTGTGTGAATCACAGGTCATGCTTGTTTTTTACAAATTTAAGATTGCAGATTGCATGTGGGAATAGTAAGAGGATTTATGAATTCACTCATGTAAAGCTGGGCATCACTCTAGGTTTAATTTTGTGTCAAATCTCTTATTTACTTGCCACACCTATGCAGGCCTTGAACTAGCGAAGGCCATAATGCAGAGCAATAGGTACAAATTTGAATAAAGTTATTAAAATATTATAAAGTAGCTCCTTGTTTTACTTACCTATGATTTGTATCCAGTCTCCCATGAAGGGCTGAAAAACCAGGAGAAGTCCATGGTCTGCTGGGACAGTCCGAAGCTCAGGAGGTGTGAACTTGTCCAAGTCCACAAAGCCTTGAAGATGTCCTGACGCTGCCACAGTAAGATGCTCGCTGAGTTTTAGCTCGTCCAGCACCAACCCTCCGTGCCGCTCAGACTCGGGCATTGGGGCTGTCTTCAGCTTTAGGGTCTTCAGCAGGTCGGGGTTGAACCCAAACATGCCTCTGAAGTTCTGTAAAGCAGAGATGATGCACCTCAATATATTGCAGTCAAACGAGTCATTTTATGAAATTATAGCTTTTCACATTGTCTGATAGCTTTAATTTTCCAATTGCTGTTAGATGCTTATGAATAACATTTTTTAATCTGCAGTTTTCGGGCAGTCAGGCATGAGCTAGGCATCATCATATGGTTGGAAGTTCATTATTTGAGCTGTCATGCCTCGATATATAGGACACATTTGTTGAAAACATTGTTTTTGGACTCTTGCTTATTGAAGCTTACGTGCACATTTCTGTTTGTATAGTGATTTCTGTTTTTTTAAAACAAGACGCATACATTTAGAGTCTGGAGAGAGAATGTTATGGTTTTCTGTATGTTTTCACAGCAGTATGGTGGCAATGAAAAAGGTTAAATAGGCTTATGTGATTGTAAATACATATGGAAAACATTTTATACATATCCACCTGGATATATCAAATTAAATTTCCACCAGGGTTTATAATTCATCGTCAGAAAATTAAATGGACGTTTCTTGATGTTGGAAACAGTTGCTTTTGCTCTAAACAGAGATGTAATCCTAGGGTCTATTTGAGTTGTTCAGATTATAATAAGATTGGTGCCATCTAAGAAAGATTTGGATACCATGTTGTAGGTTCCCAAGTACTTTATAGATTCCTCTGTCCTTTGTTGGGGCCGTTGTATGTTGGCTTGAAATGTACGCCATAAAATTTGTTTTGATCACTCAGGTTCCCATGTAGACACAGCCAATTCATGTAATAAATACAAAGTAAAGCTGTCAGCGGTTAATTCAAAATTATTATGCAAGTGGTGTGAAAAACTCAGGAATGGCACCCTAGTGAGGTACAGCAAGTCATGGTGAGAGCAAGCAAACAATAGCAAAGAAATATCTCTCCCTTCATCTGTTACATGCTTTCAGTAGGACATTTTCTGGGTTGCTGTGCTATCTTCTCAGTTTTAACTGATGGTTCCTTTAAGGATATATATATATATATATGTGTGTGTGTGTATATATATATATACACACACACACACATACATATACATACACACACATATCGCAACCTTCGCCTCGGGGCGACGCCTTAACTGATTAGACCATCCCGGCCACTGGTTTCGGCAGACTCAATTTTTGATCAGCTCTCTGTGTACTGTTAGTTTTGAATTCGCTTAACTGGGTAGACGACAACTGTTGCTACAGGAATTAAATCAGGCGAACATTGCGGGTTCAGTCCTTGCTTCTGGCCCAATTTTTCGCCAGCTCTCTTTCCCTTTTCCTTTCCCTAACTTTAATGCAATGAATTCAATAATCACTTTCTCCCCTCTTCGTGCTCTCTCTCTCTCTAAATATACATAAATATATATATTGTAAGGGCGCTTATGCGTAGCACTGCCCACAAGCATCGACGTAATCATTTTTGGCTGTGTGTGGGCCAATCGGCTTCGTCAGCTGACTGGCGGCACCTTTTTGGGAAACGTTCCATAGACACCAGATTTCAATAAAAACCGTCGTCTGACTGACCTGTCTTTGTCTCACAATATATATACAATTCTTTTTATTGTGTGTGTGATTGCACCAGCACCTTGAATCAGCCCCCGAAAATATTTTCTGGCTACGCTACTGTATTCAGAAGCTAATAATAGTCATTACAATCATTTTTTCCTAGCAAAATAACTAGCCTTCTTTTCAGGGCAGTTATGTGCTGGAAGGATTAACATCTCTGTTGTGCGAGAATTGAAACCTTTTATACAATATGAATATACTACTGATATTTTGTAGTGTTACTGTAGGATGTACAATAGCTTAATTAGATGAAATCCGTCAAACAGCTTGGATGTGTATGGCTGCCCTGTCACAATATTCAACCATCATTTTTTTCATTTGATCTTTTTTTACGCTGAAGTTAAAATTGGAATTTGTATTAACAATTTTTTGTTATGTTAACTGCTTGCAAATTATTAACTATGCAAGGCATGGTGCTAGTGTTTAATGAGCTTATGAAGGACACATAACCTGCAAAAATCAGATTATTATAATGATTGGAGAGTGCTGATTCTTGGGCAAGTTTGTGCTAAATTTTTTAATACATGGCAGGGCTCGAAGATAAGGACAAAACGATAACTAGACACCATTAAGTGCACAATGGTGTCCTCCTCTTTTCTTTGTTTTCCAGCACCACCGTGTATTCTCATTTGACTGGAGAGGTGCAAAAAACAGACCTGTGGACCTGATTTGCTTTTGTAATTACTAAAGCTTTCTGACCAGGTTCCCTCATTATTGCCTCATGCAGCATTCTGAGATTCTAATTTTGTAATGGCTTAGCAGTGATTAGTTTTTTGTAATGTTCTATGCTATGAAGCATGCACCCCAGTATTTTACAGTCATGATTCAATACCTTTTAGCACGGCAATGTATGAGTGGCATGTATGAGTGGCCTTATAAAAGTAAGAAACTTGTCTTGCATCTTTGTGATGTGACATACTATGTGGTTTGGATGTGCTGTTACTTCTTTGGATTTGTAACTTAATTGGTTCTTAAACTGAAGAGCTTTATCAAGTCACAAATTTACACACAAATGTACAACCCATTTGATTGCATTGACCACAAAGTTGTGTTCCACATGCTGCATTATTTTTGTGGGGTTGCTGAATGCTGCAGTATGCTGTGTAACGATAATGATCCCTGAAGAAGAACAAGGTTAACAAAGGACACATACAAATCTCCAAATACAGCAAAGTGACTGGTGCGCAACTGAAAAAAATCCACCTGGTCCTGCGCTAGTATTTTTTCCTACTATTGTAATACTTTACAACATTTCAGCCTATCCTCAATATGATGGAGTATTTTTTTCAAATCTCGGCTGTCCCTTCCCTCTGTTGAGCAGTGTAAATATTAATAACTAGTATAGGCATAAAACCTATTCATATTCATTTTGTATTTGGCGAAACAGAAACATGACTATTTTTACTTTCTTCTGGGCATTTTAAATAAAAACAAAGTATTTATAGATGACTTACCTTGAGGTACTTTCTCAAACAGGAACGACTTGGAAGCAGAAGGATGCAGTTCTGAGGAGATTTTCCACATCTGAGCCAATTTGTAGCTCAAACGGTGCCCTTGGAGTTTCAAACATGGAAGGAACTGCATCCTTCTTGAGGGAGGTCCTTCCACGTGGTGTGATGACTTTCTCATTGTTGATCAGATGCACATAGTTCCGCTGGATCTCTCTGAAATATGATAAATAAAACTGTCATGTATGTGTGTTTCAATCAATCTTGTACTTGACTTTTTTACTCGAGTTACTCTATCTTAGAAACTTTTGGGGTAATTTGGCATATCTTACAAATACTTTCATAAATCAGTGTTTAGTACTCTAACAAATATATTTTTTTTCACATAACTTGTGCTTGCTTCTTAAGTTACTGACAATTTGCTTCCACTTTTTTATTCGATGTGTGGGAAGGCCAGAAAAAAGACTGACTTTAATTATATTAGCTAAGCATGCTGTGATTGCCTACATTCAGTGCCAAAATATTCTGTAACACACTCGTGCTCGTGTGGAAAAGTGCAACCCACAGATGTATGTAACGCTGCCTTCTGGTAAGCAAATGCAAATTCCTGACAGGCCTTGATATAAAAAAAAAAAATCTGGTTGTTTATTCATAGATGTAAGAGAAAGCCTTTCAGATTATAGGGCAGGAGGTCCTGTAAGTGATTACTGTGATTTTAAAGGTTAAAAAACATAAAAAAATAGTGAGTAACATCTTTTGTTATTCTAGGTAGACATTTAGAAGGAGGGGGAGGTGAGAAAACAGGTTTTCGGCCCTGACTGATGTAGGTTTCAGTTATTTTGTGGTTTGTTTGACTAAATATACAAAGCAAATTGTAAATTGACAATCCATCTGAAGTTACGACTTGCTTTTTTTTTTTGTACTCTATTCAAATATTTTTTTAGAGTGGAGTGTTCAGTATATTACTATGTTCATATTTTAGCTGTAGTCAGTGAAATAGCTGAATTTGTTTTAATAAATATGATGCTAGTGTGAGTCTTATTGTGGATATTATTTCAGCAGGGTAATTTTTGTGTTGCCGCACATTTCAATTTGGCAGTTTCTTGCTGCTTATATTCTAACTTTACCAGCTTAACCTTACACATGTCTGCGTCCACATATATAAGCATGCATACGTACATTACACAGAACTGCAACATGTATAAAGCTAGCGATATTAAGGGGGTATTCTAAGCCAAGAAAACAACTGGCTCTAAGGATTTAATGTGTAATAAAATGTTTGATGAAGTTTTCCACCTACCTCTCGTCGAAATGCTTCTCACAGATCAGAGCACTTTTCGGGAGTTGTCTTCCAGTACTCTTCTCCACTGCCTGCTGCCAGCATTTAAAGCTTTCTGGGTCCTTGGGGGCTGAGAAAAGGACTATGCCCGTGTGACGGCTAGTGCATTTACAAATAAAACAGTGTCGAACACGCTTCTTGCGCCTTCCGCCGTCCATCACGCAAGTGCGGTCTGGGAGCAGACGGTGAAAATTGCGCGCGCTCGATGCGCGCCAAAAAGGTGAATAAACATCACTGAAAATAAAGTTGATAGTTATTTATTTATTTTATTAGAAACAACCATGCCTTTTTATAAAGCCGTTCTACTTCTCAAACGATGTTGTTTAAGTCTCTTTCGTTTCGTTGAGTCATTCGTGTGTATTTTATTCACAACGCGAATAGCAGACGACGTTTACGCTTGGGCCAGAGCCTCTGGCTTGGGCGCGAAGACAGCGGCACTCGCGGCACCCGTCGGCGGTAAACAGCTGATACGCCGAACGCGCCGAACCTCCTTGCGCCGAACAGACCTCTGCTTTGAAACGCCTCCTTTGCTGGAAAACCGCCAGGATCGCGACCGGCGACAGCATGACACTTCTATGACATCATCGGCCGGAAATCGAGGGACCACTTTTTTGGGCGCGGTAAACACACCAGTCGAAGACCCGTTCCAGGCACCATACTCCGTACCGTCGTCTGCTTTCGATGCTTCTTTCGATGAGACTTTCGATACGTGCTGTGCTGCTTTTCTCCCGGTGCTGCGATTTCGTGAAACTTTTACCAGGTCCTCAAAAACCCGACTACTGTTCACGCCGGGTTTCAAAAACATGTTTCGTCAAATAATTTTAATCAAGCACGCAATATCACCCACGCTATTTTGACCGCAGCCTGCCAACCCACCTGCCAAAACGCTATCTGCCATGGATGGATGATAGCGGCTGCAGCAGCTTACAGTGGCTAGAGGTGATATAACTCTACCTGAAGATGGCCGCCAGTGACCGCATTCGCGGAGCGGGCAAACGCGATCCAGCAATTGTCATATAGCATCCTCGATCATCCGCACCGGTGCGCACCGGGGCACTGAGGTGCGCCCCTTCATCTTCGATCAGGTGCACCGGTGCGCACCGTACGTCCTCGATCAACGAAGCGCACCCTCCCGGTGCGGCTTTTCGTTGCCCCAACGCGCACCAAGAAAATCGGCGGTGCGCCGGGGGGCAGTCCCATCAGGCATTGCGGCCAGGAGCGGGAATCGAGAAGATGGCGGGAGTAGCAGACGCGCAGACTATCGTGATGGCGATCTTGCGAAAACGAACGCGCCTCGCAGCTGCACTAGATGATTTCCTCGGGTCTTCTGACGGCGAGACGACGAGCTTCTCACCATCGCCGCGATTACTGGCGATTGCTGCGGTGGCAAGGAGCGCCCGAAAAGCACGAACATCGTGGAAAGCGGCGCGAGGCGTTTCGATGACTGCGAGGTACGGCTATTATCTGGTGTTTCGTTTTCTTGAACTAATAATGATGGCCAACATATACACGTGGAATTGTCACCCGCTTCGTGACCCCATCGACCATCACGTCCACGATGTTCATTTCTGTGGGACCGTCAAATCCACGAGAAAAAAAATAGAAGAAATTGACAGCAGACGGGCACCGTGCCACCGTGCGCTGACCTACGCAAAATAAACGAACAAAACGCGAAGTGACGCAAGGTGGAGCTCGCCGCGGTGCACCGGCGCGGCGCAGTTTGTCCTCGATGTTGCACCGACATCGCGCTGCACGACCGAGGGGCGCTGTGCACTGTGCTGGTTTCAGGGCGATTCCGGTGCGAGTTGATCGAAGATGCTAATAGAGATCAGTGATTCTCGAAGCAGGAACCAACACTGCCTTGTTAACGAGAGTAGAAATGAACTACACGTGAGGTCTTCGGAGAGAAGGCTTCCCGTGAGCATGAGTGAACGGTTTTTCAATCCAGAGGCATCCACGCTATTAAATTCGTTTGATGTAAGTCGCCATATTGTATTGCTCATAAAACTATTCTGAAATTTATCTGAAACCATATTTATCGATTATCGATGCATGAACCAACACTGCCTTGTTAACGAGAGTAGAGAGGAACTACAGGTGGGGTCTTCAGAGAGAAGGCTTCCCGTGAGCGTGAGTGAACGGTTTTTCAATCCACAGGCATCCGCGCTATTAACTTCGTTTGATGTAAGTCGCCATATTGTATTGCTCATAAAATCATTCTGAAATTGATCTGAAACCATATTTTTCGATTATCTAAGCAGGAACCAACACTACCTTGTTAACGAGAGTAAAGAAAAACTACAGCTTCAGAGCGAAGGCTTTCCGTGAGCGTGAGTGAACGGTTTTTGAATCCAGAGGCATCCACGATATTAACTTCGTTTGATGTAAGTCGCCATATTGTATTGCTCATAAAGCCATATTGAAATTCATCTGAAACCGTATTTTTCGATTATCGATGCAGGAACCAACACTGCCGTGCTAACGAGAGTAGAGAGGAACTGCAGGTGGGGTCTTCAGAGAGAAGGCTTCCCGTGAGCGTGAGTGAACGGTTTTTCAATCCAGAGGCATCCACGCTATTAACTTCATTTGATGTAAGTCGCCATATTGTATTGCTCATAAAGCCATTTTGAAATTCATCAGAAACCGTATTTTTCGATTATCGATGCAGGAACCAACACTGCCGTGCTAACGAGAGTAGAGAGGAACTGCAGGTGGGGTCTTCAGAGAGAAGGCTTCCCGTGAGCGTGAGTGAACGGTTTTTCAATCCAGAGGCATCCACGCTATTAACTTCATTTGATGTAAGTCGCCATATTGTATTGCTCATAAAGCCAGTTTGAAATTCATCTGAAACCGTATTTTTCGATTATCGATGCAGGAACCAACACTGCCCTGCTAACGAGAGTAGAGAGGAACTGCAGGTGGGGTCTTCAGAGAGAAGGCTTTCCGTGAGCGTGAGTGAACGGTTTTTCAATCCAGAGGCATCCACGCTATTTACTTCATTTGATGTAAGTCGCCATATTGTATTGCTCATAAAGCCACTCTGAAATTGATCTGATACCATATTTTTCGATTATCGATGCAGGAACCAACACTGCCGGGCTAACGAGAGTAGAGAGGAACTACAGGTGGAGTCTTCAGAGAGAAGGCTTCCCGTGAGCGTGAGTGAACGGTTTTTCAATCCAGAGGCATCCACGCTATTAACTTCATTTGATGTAAGTCGCCATATTGTATTGCTCATAAAGCCAGTTTGAAATTGATCTGATACCATATTTTTCGATTATCGATGGAGGAACCAACACTGCCGTGCTAACGAGAGTAGAGAGGAACTGCAGGTGGGGTCTTCAGAGAGAAGGCTTCCCGTGAGCGTGAGTGAACGGTTTTTCAATCCAGAGGCATCCACGCTATTAACTTCATTTGATGTAAGTCGCCATATTGTATTGCTCATAAAGCCACTCTGAAATTGATCTGATACCATATTTTTCGATTATCGATGCAGGAACCAACACTGCCGTGCTAACGAGAGTAGAGAGGAACTACAGGTGGTATCTTCAGAGAGAAGGCTTCCCGTGAGCGTGAGTGAACGGTTTTTCAATCCAGAGGCATCCACGCTATTAACTTCATTTGATGTAAGTCGCCATATTGTATTGCTCATAAAGCCAGTTTGAAATTGATCTGATACCATATTTTTCGATTATCGATGGAGGAACCAACACTGCCGTGCTAACGAGAGTAGAGAGGAACTGCAGGTGGGGTCTTCAGAGAGAAGGCTTCCCGTGAGCGTGAGTGAACGGTTTTTC